CGCCTGGGGGCGGGCGGAAGGCGGGGAACTAAGGCCTGGTCGCGGGACGATGACGTATACACGTGCGCCCGACTCTATTTAGACGGAAAAGAGCATGTGGGTCTGCACCTCACTATGCCGGATACGAGCTGTGGCCGGGCCGCGGCACTGGCTGTCGCTGGCTTCAGGGCACCGCGGACCGGCTGCCTCCTCCTACTCCGCATCTGCCGATCCCTCCCAGGTCCGGGCGCTGGTCTACGGGCATCACGGGGATCCAGCCAAGGTCGTCGAGTAAGAGGCGGCGCCGAAGTGGGGGAAAAGAGACCCGAGTTCTTGATGTGCTTTGAGATGGGTTGGGGGAAACGGGGCTAGGAAGAGAGTGACAGGTCTGAGGAGGCGGGCAGAGAAAAGCAAGACCAAAACGGACGCTCGGAAACATTTGGTAGCTCGTAAAGTCTGTGCCTCGAAATAGCTGAAAGCCTAAAAGAAACAATTTAACAGTAATAATGACTTCCGCTGATTGCATGCCATGACTCAAACAATCCCTTGTTTAAAACAGGTACTTGATTTGTTCCCATTTTGCAGGTGAGAAAAGTAAAGTCACAGCCGTAATTCGCAGTCGATATTTGAACTTATTAACTAATTTGAATTAACGGTTCTGACCTATTGTCCTGAGTCCATACCTTTTATTATTTTTCATTATTATTAATGGATGCATGAATTATAGAAGAAAGTACCATTATTTCATTTGGCCTTCACCTTTCCGTGAAGTAGGTCAAAGATCAGTTTCCGTTTTATGGGGAGCAAATGACTTTCCAACGTGATCTGACCAAGGAATTCTTGATCCCTGGCTCCTGGTTCCTGTGATATCCTTTCCTTTGTATTGTATATGTACCTTGGCTTAGTTTACTGAAAAGAGCTCTTATTTTTGGAGCTATCCAATCTGAAGTAAAATACAAGCTCAGTGTCTTAGGAGCATTTGATCTTGGGCAAATCTCTCGACCTTTCTGAGCCCTTCTGAAATATCTTGACTCTTAATCCATGAGTTTTACATATTTTTTATAGAAACTGTATATAAGTTTCAACCAGCATAATTCTTCCCATAAATAGCTTTAGCCATTCAGAAGAGTAAGTGAGGCTGGAATGGAGTTAAAGTGAAAGCGCTGGCCTCTAAATCAAAAGAATTTAGGTCAGATCTCTTCCATCGCCTAGCTGTGTGCAAACAAGTTGCTTAAATTCTCTGCACTTTAATGTCATCATTGTTAAGAGAATGGAAACAGTACAGACATTCCATACAAAGTTGATCATCTGAAATCAACTTGAGCACTACCAAAAAAAGTGTTTACATGCTTTGCTTTCCTGCTGTCCCTTGTTTACAACTCTGCTTTGAATCCCAGCAAATAGTTTGTTTTCAAAAAAATAGGGAAGCATGGATTTTTTTTTAATGGTTAAAATCTAAGCTGCATGCTTTTGCAGCTGGAAGGGATAAGCCTCAGATCGATTCAAGATCATACACTCAATCTAGCCACATGCACCATTAAAGCAATTGAAAAGAATATTACAAAGACACACTAGTCAATAAGCCCCAAATTGTAATTTGATCAGAGGTAATGAATCACCTGTCAGGAAGAAATATCCCGAGGGACTATGCTGTAATGAGCTGGTAAGGCTCTGGTGAGCACTACTCCATTTCCAGGAATGCACTTTAAATGGGCTGACAGCTTGAGCTTACAAACTTGTAAGTTATGTTTCAAAATATGTGCAAAATAGGTACTCCAAAAGTGTTGACTAAATCTGAGTTGAAAGTAAGAAATACACCCTGTATTGGTTTATTTCTTCTGTTCATTTGTAAAAGGAAGAGTGATGTGTGTGTTGAGAAGAGCATCTTAGATGTTCGGGAACCATCGAGAATGGCCTAGGAGGGTTAGGGAGACAAGATATTTGCTTGGCAACCAAGGAGAGTCCTTTCATATGAATTCTTCCATCTTGGAGCGCAAGAAATGCTGTAACAATCTGGTCTGTTGGCAGGTGCCATTTAGGAAACAAAGACTGCTTCTCTTACCTCTTTGTATGAAGCAATTCATAATTTCCAGGAAGTTCAAACTAGGACACTTACACAAAGCATCACCTTGCCTTGACATTTCAGTTGTGGAACTTTTATTAACCACATATTCCCAGGCCCCACCACTAAAGCACTTAGTAGGTCTATGATGACCCCTGAGCATCTATGTTTTTTAAAGCTGTCCAGGTGACTCCAATGCCCAGACTAGGGTTTACAACCATTGCCCGCTCTTACCAGATTATCAAGCAGGCAGGCAGGCAGGCAGAAAGAACTCTCTGCTGACCCAGATTCAGGGTATTTGACTTGCCTGCATATGGCCTGAGGCCAAAGGCTGGGGTTCTCTTTAGTCATGTCTTATAAAATTGAGGGTAACCACATTGGCACAGAAAGAATCAAGTGTCCTTTACACATCCTGGTGACTAGGTATCTGGAACAGGTTCAATCAGGTTACATTTAGAACTACTCAGTGTCCAAGCAGAGCATTCCCTAAACTAGTATGGTTTATAATATACTGTACTGTGGGTCAGAACTCAAGGAGGTTTGATGTGCAGTTGGCTAGAGTCAGGGGTCTGTAAAGCTCCTCAGAGTGAGGCCCCCAGGTATCTCCAGTTCTCAAGTCTGCATTTTCAATGTCCCTCTCTTCATTCTTTCCCATCCCCCCACCCCGCCCTGTCTTCATTCTTGTCAGCCCTCAAACATTCCAACTGGGTTTTTTTTCCTCTTCTACTAAGCTGTTTTCCCTTATTCCTTGGAATTTCTCTTACTTCCCCCACAAAAAAAAATTCTTCTAAATACTCAGGCCTTTTCACTTAAAGGATTTAACTGTTAAAAAAATCATGAGAAAATGATAGGCATAAGGAAATACAAACATTGTACAAATTTCAGACATTCTTATGCCATTGTCTAGAGTTTTAGATTCTTTTTATTAGATGATTTTGTTGTTAGGTGCTATCAGTTACAACGCTGTGAACAACAAATTAAAACTTTATCCTGTGTCATCCTCATAGTCTATCATGCCCAAGCCACTATGGTAGTCAGTGTCAGTCATCTCATTGAGGGTCTTCTCTCTTGCTGACTTTCCACCTTTCCTAGCACACTGTCTATCTCCAAGGACTGGTAAAAATATGTCCAAAGAAAGTGAGATGAGCTTACACCATCCTCTAAGCAACATTCTGGTTGCCCTTCCTTAAAGACAGGTTTGTTTTGGCAGATCATGGGATAGTCAGTACTCTTTATCAACACCTCAATTCAGAAGCATCACTTCTTCTTTATTGTTGTTGTGTACTCTGAACCAACCCATCGCTGACCCTCTGACAGGTTTTCAGAGACAATTAACATATTGCTGCACACTTTTTAAAGTGACTGCCGTGCTTAGAAACACATTTGCTGTCATTTGCGGCAATGTGTTAATAGCACGGGAGGTGATTGCTCATCCTTCTGCAGAGAAGCTGGTGGCCTTAAACCACTTGCCTTCAGAATTGCGGCACAGCTTTTTGCCACTAGGTCACCATCAAAATTTATCTGATAGTTCTTAGAATCTTTCATGACTTCCTCTTTCCTTTTGTTTCTGGAGTACCTTCTCAGGACTCTGCCATTATCAACTAATTATGCCATTGAGAATGAGATGGAGTAAACAATTTGTAAAAAGATGAATCAAAAGAGGAAGTGAGATCACAGGTCATTCGGCCGTCTCTACTTTTCATAGGAATATCTTGGGTTAAATAGAGAAATACCTTCCTCTGCCTCTTTCAGGATCCTAGAACTTTCATTCTGACCATCATGAGTTTCCCTCCTACCTGCTGCCAGCATAGATTGAGTTCCTGAAACTAAGCTGTGAAGCCCATGGTCACATCCCCGTTCTGTGTCAGGCTGTGTGGAACATGAGGGAACAGGTCATGAGTTCTCAGTTTCCTGCACAGGATTTCCTCTTTTCACTGTGGATGTTAAAGTTTTTTAAGATAGAATTACTGTGTTGTTGTTTGTTGTTATGTGCCGTCGAGTCGCCTGCGACTCATAGCGACCCTATGTACAACAGCCCTAAACCCTGCTCTATCCTGTGCCAATCTCACTGCCTCTGACACACCCATCCTGATTACCCCAGTCACTGAATCAATCCACCTCATAGAGGGTCTTCCCTTTCTGCGCTGTCCCTCCACTCTGCCCAGCATGATGTCCCTCTCCAAAGACCTGTCTCTCCTTACAACATGTCCAGAGTATGTCAGGCGAAGCCCCAGAATCCTTGCCTCCAAGGAACAGCCTGGTTTAACCCTCTCTAGGATGAATCTGTTTGTTTTCTTGGCAGTCCATGGTACATTCAGTACTCTTCTCCAGCACCACAGCTCAAAGGCGTCAATTCTTCTGTCCTCCCTAGTCATTTTCCAACTCTCTGATGCATAACAAGTGATTGTAAAAACCATGGCCTGTATCAGGCAGTGCTCTGGTGAAAACTGGGCTTTGGTAGTGGAGTTTCATTGATTTGATTAAGTCTCTATTGTGAACACGAATGAAAGGAGAAAAAGCCTAACTCGTTGGCTTAAGTCAGCATTTTTTGTTCTTGAGGACCGACCCACTGAGTGTGAGACACTGATGAAGTAAAAATGAATAAAATGTGGTATTTGCCTCAAGGAACTCACTCTCTAGTCCTGGAGATGGGCGACTATAGCCCTACCAGGGGGTTGCTGCTGCTGCTGGTGGTGGTTGTTGTTAAGTACCAAGTCCAAACTTGACTTACAGCTGACCCTCCAGTGGGTTTTCAGAGACAGTAGGTCACGCAGGAGATGGCTGTCTTTCCCTGGTAGAGCACTGGTGGATCTCAACTGCCTGCCTTTGGGCAGTGCAACTTCTTACCACTAAGCCATCAGAGTTCCCTACCAGTGTGGGTAAGTGATCTAACATATTTGGATTCCTGTAGACACAGAAAAACTCAAACTCATTGCCATCAAGTTGTAACTGGCTCATAGGTGACTCTCCAGCAGGTTTTCAGAGACAGTGAATTGGACAAAAAGAGATTACTCATCTTTTATCCCCCCCCCATCAACTCTGTAAGAAATACATTTGTTTGTTTGTTTGTTTATCATGTTGCTGGTTGTTTGGTTTTTTAAAAAAAGAAAAGCAAAACAATTGGTGCTTATGAAAATATCTGTGGAGGGGAAATCTGGTTAGCAAAAAATGTAGAACATGTACATTCTTTACATAACCCCTCATTACTTTCTCTGAAGACAAAGTGTCT